TGGCTGGAGACGTTGCAAGAAATGGCGGCTAATCGATGTCAGTGGCGTTCTTGCTGTCAGTTTCTTTCCATATTGTCTGATTGAGCGGTTGGAGGTCTAGGCACCTCAGTATGCTTGACATAGGCCAGCACTAGGTCCCCTCCCTCACCCACTCTTTTCTCTTCTCTGTAGGGCTTTTAATACAATTATATATACATATATATATATATATATATATATATAACTAAACGAACCTTATGGTTGTACGGCAGTGAAGCATCAGTGGCAACACTGATGTTGCTGTCTTTGATGATGATGATGATGGTGATGCCGCATTAAAGCTGCCTGTTCACCAAACTCCCTCTTTTGATAATCTCATTGTGCATCTGATGGTCTTAGCCAGTTCCAGCTATACTCAGATATCGGCGGTCAGCCACCTGAAGGTGTTTCAGATCTTCCATTCGAATCGTTCAAGTCTCGCAACCGTACAACAATACTGCCTGTGTCATACTCTTATGAAGAAGTTATTCGAGAACAGACGAAATGCCATTTTGATGCCACAAGTGGCACGCATCTGCAGGCGTAATTCTGACCATTGAGGTTCGTGTGTTGACTACTGTTTGAGTTAATGCAACTTCCCTTGTCACTCCGAATTCCTAGAGGCATGGTCAAAGACTGTAAATCTCGCAACATGACCTTGTGCTTTGTGAATGCAAAACATGCTGAAGGACTAGATGACCTTGTCTAGTCTTTCCAGTAATGTTTGTGTTTCCTGCTTTTTTCCAAAAGTGGGAATACTCGCCGCCTATTCCAGGTTGACAAGTTTCTTGCTCAGGGATTCTGAACACCGGATTTTCGAAGGACTTACAGTGCTCCCCCATTACGTCATCACTGACAAAACTAAGCGGAAATGGAGATGTGGACATCATTGTCGGACACCAGTGCTTGTAAAAAAGCTTCGGGAGAGCTCCCCATGCACTCTTGCGGAAAACAGGTATGTGAGTACAAGAATCGAATACAGTCGTGACGTGAAGGAATACTGAAATTGTTGGGCACATATATACCTATCGTTGCTCTAACACTTAACGAAGTGTTCACACAGCCCGTTGCCGTGCGCAACTCTACTTGATCTTCTCTCTCCTCTTCGCGTGCCTTCATCAGACGACGTAAAGTATCCAACGCAAAGAGTCCAGCTACAATGGGTGTCTCTTGTAATTTTGTAATTCTTTTGTAATTGCCACGCTCTGTGTGCTTGAGTGGGCCACAGGCGAAATTCCCAGCGCTGTGCAAAGAGGTGACAAACTGTCCAGTTTGATTCTTTTGTAATTGCCACGCTCTGTGTGCTTGAGTGGGCCACAGGCGAAATTCCCAGCGCTGTGCAAAGAGGTGACAAACTCGTCCAGTTTGACTTTACATCTGACAGTAAGGCATTTGGAAAAGACTCTAGAAGACGGTTCTGGTAAATTCGTCCAACATCCGGATCTGCCAGTCCTTGAGTTGCCAAGCGATTTGTCCTTGCCTTACGCGGTCCTGGAAAGCTTAGGGAGAAGCACGTGGTCGGAATCCACAAATGTGTTCCAAAACGATCGGCAGTCAGTCATTGATGCGCGCCATTGGTAACTGATGGCAATGTGGTCGATTTGAGTTTGTGACCGGCATGTCGTCGGAGGACACGGTGTGGCCAGAGGATCGGCTATTTCGGAAGTTGGTACTGCATAAAAACAGCCTTCCATCAGTACATAGTTGTAGCAATCCTCCCCCATCGTAGTGCGTACCGAGTTTAATCCATGTCGACCTCCTAATTCAGTCTCAGATACACTCAAACTTCCCATTTATGCATTTATATCTCCGGCAGACAGACAGCGATTAGCTTCCCGCTTGTGAGACTTCTTCATGGACGTTGCCAGATGAACCCCACAGGGGCGACTCTCAACAGGTATCTAACCAAGCAAGGATACTTCCGCCCGTTGACTAAGGATGATACCAACCCCTGCACATCTTGCTGCTGCAGCCTCTGGATCGCCAGACATGCGTAGCCGGAAGTGAGTAGAGATTGATGGGGCGGTAAGTTCACTCACTGTTCTTGTATATTGAAGGAAGGTCCGTGGTTCAAACCCGACTTCTGTCTCTCGAGCTCCCCTGCCTAGGCTTGGGCAACCAGGTGGTGTTCCAGTCCTCGTGCTTTCTTCGGGTCGCATAGCAGCTAAGCACCGGAGGGGTGCTACAGCTGAACAATCAATCACGACCACGTAATTGAGTTATAGATGCGCTAAGCCTGCCCACTTGTGCATTCACATCTCCGCCAACCACGACATCTGAGCGTTTAGCTAAAAGCGAAAAGACATCAGTGGGGCGTAATGATTGTCTTTGTTGGTGTCAGAGCTATGGTCAGCTGGGGCGTAAGCAGACACGGCAAACGGATATCGGTCAACCTCCCCTTGTAAGACTCCTTCACAGATGCTGCCAGACGAACCGCACACAGACGACCGTCAATGGGTATTCGGTCAGTCAATGATCTTTCCACGCGGTGACTCACGATGATATCACCCTCTGCATATCCAGCCGTAGCAGCCACTGGATCACAAACGGTGCGTTGCTAGAAGCGAGTGGAGACTGATGGGGCGGTTAGCTAAACCGCTGTCCTTGTATCTTGAATTCTCGGTTCTGAGACACAGCACACATCAATACCAAGTGAGTTTAGTGTGAGAGCAAGTGCAGCGTGTTGTTCTGCTTGCTCCAGAGTGCGGACATTGAAGGCGGTCAGATAGACTGGGTGTCAAAGCTTGAAGATTGATTTAGAGGTAACTGAGGATATCGGCGCCATGTGACGAGCAGATTCTGCACGCAAAACCGGTGCATGACGAACGGAGTCATCAGTCCTAAGTGCTGGGCCCACAAAAGGAGAGTTATCAATGAGGTGGGTTGAGGTAGGAGAAAAAGTATGTGAAAGAAAAAGAAGGGAGGCGTCATCAGCCTGTTTTCGCTTACGCGCCCTGCTGTATGCAGCGAGTAAGGCGACTCGACTGATGGCACCAGGCGACGGCCGATGTGGCATGAGTTTACTTGTATGTGCGCAGTTCATGGTTGTACGTTGGCTGGGATACTGTCAGGGTGCCCATACCTAGACAGGAGTAGGTATACTTTGTGTGGGTGTACTTAGTAGGTTTCTTTCGCAGGACGACCAGAGAACTTCTCAATGTCCAGGTGAGGTGTGCGCATCGTACGCGCCTTTGGAGAGTGCGGCTTGAAGCAGCTACGAAAAAGCGCGTGATCCGAATCTATATAGGTGTTCCAGTACGGGCGACAATCAGTAGTTGACGCACGCCAGTGTCACTTTTGGAAGTTGGCTCGAGTGCGTGAAGCACCATGCGACCAAGCGGCTTTGGTTGATTCGAAGGTTAGCACTCCGCACCAACAGCACGTAGTTAGCACATAACTGCTACAGATATTCGCCGTTGTCCACCGTCTCACTTCCAGTCCAAGATGACCACCTAAGCGAGCCTCATCAACGATAAGTCTGCCTACTTGCGCATTCATACCCCCTATCAACCGCCACAATATCTGAGTTCTTAGCATGCCGCAAACAGGTACCAAAGCGTCACCCCTCCTTACTTTCGGAGAACTCTTTCCTCTTCTTTTTCCGAACTGCCAAACTTTGGAACTACCTATCACTTAGCGTATCATATCCTTAAAATCTTCAACCTTTCATGCTTCTTATTAACGTGCATTTCAACAAACCATTCTAGTTACTCCATGCTTTTCTGTCGTCTAGTTTTTATCACTTTTTGTGCCAAAATTCTCTTTTAATGAGTCCTTTGTTCCTCTGTAGTTAACATTCACATGTGACAAGAAGCTATACTGTTTTGCTCAACAAATGGATATACCATTGTTTATAGGTTTTCGATGAGTAACAATGGCGAACTCACGGAAAGTTCCTCGTCATCGCACGAGGCTAAGCTGGAGGGTTTAGGTGAAGTATCAAGCTCGAATAAATGGGGTCGCCGCGGGTAGGTTCTACTACGTTTTAATTTGTTTTCGATTTCGAATTTACTTGTTTGTTCAGATACAAGTTTTACCTCAAGAATAGTTATTTTAGGGCATGAACTTATTAAAGTCAGTTACTCTCTCAGATGATCTAATTGTATCTCAGTGTTGATCTAAGTGTTTCAGCCTATCGAATTTTCGTATGGTCCCCTAAATAATGGCGGCACCATAGCGGAACTTGGAAAACGAACGTTTTACGTGCCAGCGTGAATAAACTAGCACGTAACAAACAACCCGCACAAATGGCAGCAGACCAAAATACGAGTTTGTTGAACACATCTTTCGTACCACTCACAGGTGGGTACCGCCGACCCAATGAGTTTAGTATGACTTCAAAGTAGAATAACTGCAGCAGTCGGTATGGTGATTTGCTGTGTATATGCTGACCGATACTAGTTGGTTGTCGATCCAGCAGTGGATAAAGATGATCTCTATCTATCTGGTTATCGGTCCAGCAGTACAAGAATTTCTATGACGTTCTTAGCAACTATCCATGCTCCATTGGCAATTCAAATCTCTCTTATTCATCATAATCATCATTGTCAGCTGTAATAACCGCGTATTCGTCGTACAGTGATTGCAGCTGCCGCAGTTTCGTTCACCGATGATTTGGGGGTGGTGGTGGTGGTAAGTAGCTCTCTTATTAAGAAGTACCAGCTTCTGAAATGTACTTTCATCTAGTGGTTTCATTTAGGTCTATAGTCTAGTGTGATCGAAACTATCCCTAAACTGTTTGGTTATACGCTTAGCTGTGGTAGATGAATTTCTTTTGTGATGTTTATCACTGTGCAAATGAAGTGAGCAATGTCGCAACATTTCAGTTTGCGTGTGTGCACTTACAAGTGCGCATGTTTTGGCCTTCAGCATATCATGCTATAGATCTAAAGCATGTCTATCGGAATCTTACGCCGTCTGGATATAAATCAGGATCCGCCTATGGGTATTTAGATTTCTGTGCTCAGCGTAGGAAGACATACTTTCGGACATCCTAGTTTCACATCAATACTTGAGATTCTCATCAAGCAAACTGTAGAACTTGACCTTCGGGTTTCCAGGGGAACATTTTTTAATGCCATTCGTTCGCCCTCGTGGAATGGCGCCAAACAGATGCTGAGAAAAACTATAAATTTTGGTTCAATTTCTGGAGTTGTACATCAGTCATCACCTGGCCTCTTCCTATCGGCTATAAATAACTATGTAGAAGGAAGTTTCGGTTGCTAGATGTTTTTCTTCAACCGATTATTGTGACGCTTATCTTACATGCGGATGAGCAAGGAAATATAAAATGCAATGAAGCTGATACATTGAAAGCAGTCCACGTAGTTGTTTTCGTTTTCATCCTGTCCACAATAATTATTTGGCTTGTCCACCTTCGTTTTCTTCATTACGGAATAGGTCGCCTGATCGGAAGGTGTGTTAGATCGGAAGAGC